TCTCTTTGACCTTTCCTCTGCTCCTTGTAAAGCATTCTCCCCTCTCATGCTGTGAAATGTTCATGCTGTCTCATACTGTGAAACGATCTCTCACGCTCTCTCTAAGCGTTGTCCTTAGTACTCTCGAAAAGATGCTATTTCACAATAAATACCTAAACACTGCATCAGACTGCTGTCCTCTGTATCTGTCTGTCAGATACTGTGTTTTAAAGGTGCTGCTTAGAATATCAAAGATGTCTTAGCGATCTTAGCATTTTCCTTTTCAGCTCTGTTGAAATATATGTAAAACAACTGTTTTTAAAAAATAAAAATAAAAAAGCTTGAGGTCTCCAGCACTTGCAGCGATGTCCTAGCTTGTACAGCTCTGTTGCTGAGATAGGGCTAGCTATGCATGATACTCCATTTCCCCTTTAAAATGCTCCATCTTTCTGATACTCCAGCTCTTGCAGTGATATTGTGTGATCAGGTGACTCGGTGACAGGCTGGTTTGCTGCATTGTGGCATCCTCGGAGGAGCCAGAGAGGTTTGTACACAGGGCTCTCGAATAAATGCTCATGGGGAATGCCAGTCAGCAACCCCAGCACTCCTCGGTTATGCAAAACTATGCAAAGCCTCTGCTAGATTTTCTAGCGTGGAGCATCTGCTGGCCCTGCAGTTTTGGGGCTGAAGGAGCCCTCTCGCAGGAGATACTTGCCTTTGAGAGTCGTTGTGGCCAGACATCTTGAGAGTCCTTCGTTATAATTGCCTCTGGCCTGCACACATCTGATGTTGCCTCATCACTGTGGCCATATATTATTGATATCAAAATTGTTGAGTCATAAAACGGAGGTTATAAAAACATCCTTATTCTGCTAGAAACATTAGCTCATCATTTCTGGTACTACAGAAGGCAGGAGAGGCCAGGAAACCTGGTGCCTGTGAAAACGAAAATGTGGACTGCATCAGAAGCTGGAAAGACCAGAGAAGAGCCACAAAGTCAGAGGCTAATTAGGAAAGAGAGCACTTTGCTTAAACACCAGTCCCCGGGCTCAGAATCAGGTGTCTCTTGTAACTTTGTGTCACTTGAGGTTGTCACTTTACCTGACAGTACTTTGATTTCTCTCTCTCTAAAATAACAAATGCAAAATTCTCCTTCACTTCCATCTGAAGACCGTAAGGCACTTCACAGGTATTAACTAGTTAACCCTCACTCCAGCAGCCTGTGCTAAGTGAGAAAGCTACAGTTACCTCCATTTTTCAGAGGGAAACGAGAGGTACAGAGGGGCTGTCGGTTTGCTTGTGAACTCTGGCTCAGGATGGCAATCTGCTGATTTCTAATCCTAGACAAAGGCATTTTCTGGTGTTCTCATGCTGCAGAATAAAAAATGCATGAAGAGAAATGATTTTAATTTATTTTACTATTTATGCTTTAAATGTATTTTCTTTCTTCTCTTCCTTGGGCAATTTTCTGAACCTGAAGAGATCTTTCTGGGCGGAAAAACACTTCTTGCAGAGATTATGTTTCACTATTTTAACAGTGCAGCTACGGACAAATATTTCTCTTGACAGTTGTGTTTGATTTCCTGCACTGCAGGGATGTCCGGTCACCGTCCAGATTCAACAGCAAGCGCATGAGGGTTATATTCCTTAGCTGCTTGGGGTTCTTTGTTATGGATTTCTTTAGAAGAGCAAGTACAAAGGACCTGTACGACGAATTCACCAACCAAAAAGCAGTACCACACCTTGTACCCACTCAGAGCAAATACCTCAGGCCTTTTGAGAGCTGCTGGAGGAGGCTGTTCCCGCCGCACCACCTGAGCGCCCACCGAGCGGCTGCGGCGTGGTGGCAGGGACACCCGTCCGCCCCCTGCCCCAGCGCTCCCGGTTTTGGGCTCCTCTCCCCACCTGTTGGTCTCAGCAGCCCCGGGG